TCCCTAGTGTGGTTCCAGTAACTGAAGCAAGTGTAATTATTGCAGTCTCCTCTCCACACAGAGCAGAATCCCTTGAAGCTGTAACGTACTGCATCAATACCTTAAAAGCATCTGTCCCGATATGGAAAAAGGTATGTTTGGAGAAAAATTTGATTTTAGGCCTGTGCCAGAGCCTTAGACAGCTGGGCTAGAGGCTGCTTCTGCTCATAAGGGAAGGAGCTGAAGCATTATGGGCAGCAGTTGCTCCTGACAGGATGCCAATGTCTAGCACCAGTGAGGTTCCTCTAATGCAGCCAGGTCCATCTGTGGCAGGTAGGGCACCTGGAAGGCCCTCCCTTGCCTGTACCATCCACCTTTTATTCCTTTTAACACCACCCTGGGGTCAAAGTGAAGGAGCCTTACGTTTTCCACTTTTGAGTGGCAAAACTCAGTTCTGCACAGGGTTGTGTAAGAACTTTGAGTCAGCTTTGCTTTTGGACAGCATTGCACTTTGCAAGTAAAAGTGGCATGTCTTGTCTTTCTGTTTTCCCCTCATCTCTGTGGCCTTGAGAAAGCACAAAGCATTAAGCAACAGCACACAATGAAGGGATGAGCAGAGGTCCCAAAGCTAGTATGGGCACACAACAATGTGTGAAGAGACTAGTCCGGGTCTAGAAGGAACTTCATTGCATAACCACAGTGTTGTATGCAAGTAATGAGCATTACCTCTGTCTTCTCTCCCAGGCAGAACTTGGCATGTGGTAACAGTGATGTACTCTCCATTACTCCACTTTTCTGACACGTCTTTCAGGAGACTAGAGTTCTGTGGTCTCAGAAAGAATAATCAGGGTCTCACAGCCCTACTGGATTTGCCACTTAGGACTGGACTGCTGATGGGTAGCCCAGTCTGTCCTGAAGATCAGGAAAGGGCAATTTCAGAGATGAGTTTCAGACACATCATTTCTTCTAGATCTTTTTCTTGAATTAACTGCAGTATAGATGGTCCCTTCTAAATTTAATGTGGTTCAGCCCGAGGTTCAGCATTTGCCCACATGTAAGCCAGTATGTTCTAAGGGTACTGCCCTCTTTTTTGTTTGCCAGCTAAGTGCTGTGTAGTCCTGTTGTGATCAGTAAATAATAGCAGGAGGGCTGTTGAGTAGTTTGGCCTGGCTTGTGGCTTCGTGTAGCAGACTTCTACAATATTTCCCATTCTCTGTTTATGTTTGCAGGAGATTTACGAGGACGAATATTCTTGGAAAGAAAACAAGGAATGCTTTTGGGCAAATTCAGAAAAATAACTGTACTCTTTTAAAAATAAAGTGTTACTGTTCCTAACGAGTATACTGGTTTAGCTTTCAGTTGTTTTTGCAGAGAATCTATACATTTTTAAGCAGTTGTAATAGAGATTTCAATCTGAGCAATTTAATTAGGACTGAATGAAATGAATGAGTAATAATTAGTTTTTAAGTGTACTTGACTCTCCTTTGAAATCATCACTGTGCAATTTAACACAGAGTCAGTTTTTAAAACAATATTCCCTAAAATTCTTTGTTGCAAGGTGTTTAGTACTCTGATATATACTGCTTTAATGCCTTTACATTGGTATTACGTTGGTAATCTGTGTTCACTGTCTGCATGGGAACTCACAACAGGAAAATTTGACTTTTTTAGTCTTAAGAAAAGTCCTGAGTAGTTTAATTTTATGTGACTGTAGAACCAGTTTGCAAGCTTTATGCTATTTTGACATTCTTGTAACATGAAAGCTACTTGAAGTAGATTCAACATTTTGGTACAGATAGAGAAGAAAATATAAACTATACTCCAGAGTTAGTAACCTTTTAGTAGTGGTTGTATTCCAGTAGCTCTATCTCGCACAAACATTTTTACTGTGCAGCTGATATTACAAGTCCATTGCATTAAAAAAATATGGACAGACCTTGATTCAAAGTTAGATCTAATACTCTACCAGCAAAGAACTTGCATTAGCAATAACACACAAACCTGTAACTGCCTAATGGTGTCTAGACGTGACTGATTTTGCAGGAGCTTTATTTGCTGTGTAATTCATATAATCGTAGAATCATTAAGGTTGGAAAAGATCTCTAA